AATGATTGGCTGACAAGCAGAAATGTGGGTGGCAGTCAACGAATGACCCTTTCTGTTTTTTGAGTAGTATTAAGAATTTGTTTTCTTTTCCAAATGAAAGCCTAAAACAAATAACACAAATCCATTTGCATTATCACAAGAAAAAATATATGTAATATTGCTCGTGAAATATTGTGAAAAAATAAAATAATGTCTTGTTGATATTTTATTGTATATCATAATTATTTTTTTATTAGCATCACTTGTACCTTATTTTGTTATTCTTCCCTCTCACAGCTTTGATTATGTGTATAGTTTATTTCGCAATACTACATGTAAAACAATAAAATACCTTGAAATCCGCATTTACCGGACGCTCCAGAGACTTCAACCCGAGCAACGTCTCTGAACCTACTAAATATTCATAAGCTAAACCTTTGCCATAGTAGATTTTGCGCTGGTTTGCTCATTGGCTGCAGGCTGAAATGCGAAAGTCGATTTCATTTTCACTTCCTCGTTGTTTCGTTATTGCTTCTTAAAGGCAAAGCAGGCAGAAAAGAAACTTAAGCTGCAACATGCAAATATGTATCGCACTTTAGTGCTGGTTGTGTGTGATTAGAAAATTACCAAGTTTCTGAGACTTCATTTACGCTATATCACATATATTTATATGCAGATGTTGTGCATTGCTGTATGCATCTGACGTAAAATTGCATTAATCTATTGTATGTTTTTATTAAGTGCACTACTGATGTGCACATAATACTTCTGTCCATGACTGTAGCTGGAATGACATTTCCAGAAAGATACTGAGCTGTAGAGATGAGAGAAGCAATGCAAGTTGTTAAAAGCATTATAGCTGTGCAATCCTATCCTCACTGTGTCTTCCCACACACACACACACACACACACACACAGAGAGAGAGAGAGAGAGAGAGAGAGAGTCTCATATTTTATCTATGCTGCCAAGCCCTGCAACTCCCAGCGTATGATGCAACACACCGACTCTAACAACACAAACCCCATTTAAATAATACATTGGACTCAGATATTCTTTGCTAGAGTACCATAATTGCAAAACAACCTTAAAGCATTTCTAAAATCAATCTTATTTTCTTAAATCATCCATGTTTTTCCCCTGTACAGCAATATTTTTTAATTAAACAAACACGAAAAGGAAACAGCTTGACGGATGGTTGAGAAACAAGACTGAAACAGAAATAAGGTAAAGTTTCGGGGAGTTGTTCTGCTTTCTGTCGCATTTCTCAGGAAGGCACCTTGTTGTTTTTAAGCACTTGGCTGGGATCTAAGAACAGACCACCACCTAGTGGTTAATACTGGTGTGATCTCGTAATACAAGTATCTTATTTATTAATATTATAATATATTATTATAATTAACTAAAACTAAAAGTTAATTCCTTGAAAAGTTATTGAATAAATAAACGTTAACTGAAATAAAATATAATATAAAAAAGTACTTTTATTTCATCTAGTTGCCAATGCAGCATTTCTAATTTTCATTATTTTAGCGATGTAATAAAACAGACAAATCTAAAACAGAAAAAAAATTATAAAAACTATATAGACATAGTAAGAACTAAAAAATTCCAATAAAGCACAACTAAATTATTAATGAAAATAGAAAACATACAAATAAATACTAATTCAAAATATTAATAAAAACTATAATAGCATCTCAACGATCCTAAAGTAACTCTTTGAGGATTTAGACACTTATGAATAGTAGTTTTAGACACTTATGAAAATTGCTTTAAATAAAATGTTTTAAAAATAATTCCTTTAATAGTTTTTATTGCTTCACTTCTTTTAAATAAATCAAATCAATATTTGGTGTGAATAACCTTATGCTGATTTGGTGAGAAACATTTATTATTATCACTATGAATACTGTCGTTGCTTAATATTTTTGTGGAAATCATACATTTTCAGGATTCTTTGATAAAAAGTTCAAAAAGTTATTTTTTTGTAAACATTATGAATGTCTTTACTGTCACATTTGATCACTTTAACGCATCCTTGCTGAATAAGATGATTCATTTCTTTAAAAAAGTGTGCGCGCGTGTGTGTGTGTGTATATATATACATAGAGAAAGAGAGAGAGAGGGGGTAGTCCTGTATCTTTTTCTGCATTGTGTTCAACTTTAGAGTCTCAACACAAATTACACAAAGCACACAAGCTTAACAGTAAACTAAAATATTTATTTATCATAATACAGATTGTGCTAGTGTTTATGTTCAGAACTTCCTCTTGTCAAACAATCTTTCATAAATGTAATGCTGATGATAAACCTGAGAACTGTGAACCTCCACACTCACAGATGTCTGCACATGTACAAGACAAAGAAAGCAAGGCACAAATGATGAGTGACAGCCTAACTGTGCATAGAAAAATCATAAAAGTCCAGCAGTCTGTGTCAAATCCAGCACTGTAACATTTCACACACCAGGATTAAAAAGATACAGAAAATTTCAAAATACCCATGATCAGATAATAGTTTATTAAAATCCAGTGTTTCCCTTAAAATTGCCTTTATATCCCTTCCTGTTTTGGCTGCAGTCTGCAGTGCTTTAAACGGCTACATAATAATTATTAAAATAATGATTTAAAAGTGCTCTTATCCCATTGCAACATAATCAGTAAAATACACATGAATTATTTAAGGAAATAGAGTTCTTTGGTCAGCATAGACACAATACACGGTATCTGTTTCATGCCATCAAACCCTGGAAGATTGGAGCAGGATTTAAAGTCCAGCGCCACCTTGTGGTTGACACGTGTCATGATCTGCATGATCTCTAGTTGCTTGCTGTATTTTGACAGCGTCTCGCACAGTGAGGAGATGAACCAGGAACCATTAGCAACGTTCCTCCAAGAGTAATAACCTGAGAACAGACAGAAAAGAAGATAGTAAGGGCATTTGTATTTGCGCATTTTCTTATTTGGTTCTCAAGAAAGTTTCTTAGAACAGAAGATTAGTTACCTGGTGCAGTGGAGTAGACATACAAAAAATCTGCCTCAACAGGAATCCTCTGTGTTCCCTCTTCCCTTTCACCGTCACACTCAATGCCAGCATCCAGATCTGAGCCTCGGCAAGCCTGGAGACACACAGGACAAACACACTCAAGCATCTGTGTAAGAAGCTATTTATGTCATATAATTTGCATCTCTGCACGTTAGTGAACAAAGGTCTACTGGCTACTTAAAAAAAGGCAAGAGCTCTTTAATAGGTCTCTGTTTTAACAGGAAATACAAGAAGGAACTGTTCATTTTTAACGATTTTTGGTGTTTTTTTATTGTCTTTATAGAGATAGGATAGTATGTAGACAGGAAAGAGGGGGGGGCGGTTGGGATCGGGAAAGGTCCGCGAGCACGGGACCCCCAAAGTGCAACAACGCTGTATGTCAGCGCACTACACACAAGGCTATCGGCGCCAGCGAATTGTTTGTTTTTAAAAGAATAGTTCACACAAAAATGAATATTTCCTTGAAAATTGGCCATCCAAGATGTAGATAAGTTGCTCAGCAATGGATCCTCTGCAGTGAATGAGTGCCGTAAGAATCAGGGTTCAAATAGCTGATAAAAACATCACAATAATCCACATTACTTTTTGTGTTGATTACTTGTGGATTATTGTGATGTTTTTATCAGCTGTTTGGACTCATTCTGACGGCACCCATTCACTGCAGAGGATCCTTTGATGAGCAAGTGATGCTAAATTTATCCAAATCTGTTCTGATGAAGAAAAAAACTCATCTACATCTTGGATGGCCTGAGGGTAAGTACATTTTCAGTAAATTTTCATTTTTGGGTAAAGGGTAATTTTTGTTTTAATAATTATAAAATATCTAATAATTTTTAAAATATATCTTAATAGATAAGAAATAATATATTTAGTTTTTATTAATTGTATAACATCTTGGCAAGCAGAGTGATTTTGACTAAAACTAAAACCATAAAAATTATTCAAGTTATCTGAAAAAAAAAAAAAACATCAAGTGAAATCAAATTAAAAATTAATTAAGCTAGCTGCCAAGGCAACATTTCTCATTTTCAATTAGTTTAACGTAAAGTACGAAATGAACTAAAATTAAATAAATACAAATAAGTAATAAGCAATGAAAACAACTATAGAGATACAGCGGTGGCCAAAATTATTATAGAACACTAGTATTTTCACCAGATAAAAATTGGTTTTAAGTCAGTTATTTATAGACAGACTGGATGATGAAGAGACCAGACCTCTGTGTGGAGCACTGGCTGTTGTCAGACTCCTCGTGCAAACAAAAATCTCACTGGATTATTACAATTAATGGCAAAATGAATGTTTGGAAATGTAAACTGATATTTCCTACTGACACACTACAGCTAAAGATAGAAATAACTGACTTAAAACCATTTTTAGCTGGTGAAAATAGTAGTGTTCTAATAATTTTGGCCACCACTGTATATTAAAACAACAAACAAAAACTAATAAAAATGACAAAAGCACACAACAAAAGTACTAAAATTTAGGATGATAAAAGTACATAAATGGTACTAAAATAACAGCATTTTGAACAAGAAAATACTTTTTTTTATTATTCAGCTCACCTGAATGAAGAAAAGCTTGGGTTTCCCCACCAGAGATTTGCAGCGGTCTCCTCTGAAGAGCGCAATCAGTTCCTTCAGCTCAATACAGTCATCTGTGCCAAATATCCTTCCATCATCTCCATGACTCAGCAACACACACGCAAACATGGCTGATTTACTGTGATCTTCCTTAGACACTGAGGATGGAAGAGTATATGAGTTTATGACTGATCAATTCAATAACTGTAACCAATCACTATTCAGACTCCTTATACCTTTAGTTAACAAATCTTTCATCTGTGAGACAGTCTGATCATTGCTAATTTTGTATTTGAAGCCCAGCTTTGAGAAGGTCTGCATCGCATTCTTTGCATCCTCGTCTGTCCCATTACGAACTCCCATTCCTGTTCAAAATAAAAAAGGATTAATCCAACAAAAAATATGAGGACATTACTACTAAAGAACTTTCCGGATCATCAAAACTACTTGTATGTCATTTCTCTTTCAGAAGGAAAACACCTGACAACACAACTGTAAGTTATTTACCTTATTCACACTACTGATCACCTTATTGCATCAACTTAATTTGCTTTTTTAGTGTCAGAAATAAATGTGCTTTTAAAAAACGAATTATTTAGTTCTGAACGTGATTGAGTGTTTTAATGGCAAATGGATTTAGATAAAAATGTCAGATGTGACTGTAAATGCCACTAAAGAGAATCAATTGAGTATGTGTGTGTTGTTTTTGGAAATTTCTGGGAAGTAACTGGTAAAAATGAGGTTTGTCTCATTTAGGTGGGTTGTGATAGTCTAAAATTCACAAAACAAAGTTACCATAACTCTTCATAACAAGTCTTCTTTCATAATGTGCTGTCATGGGCTTGTCCCAGTAAAGATAGACTGATCTACTTTCTAGAATACTGCAATCTTCAAGCAATTGACACACATGAGAGGCCCAGCCTTCAGTTATCAAGCTGTTAGATCTTTGTAAATCCAGATATTTGTGATCATTATGGATGTTAAACATCTAGACTAAGAAAGAAGCAATCAAGTTATCTTTATATGAACTTGTTACACCTGTTGTTTTAAAAGGACAAGCTTTATGGGAAGTGTGTTTGAAAACACATATTGAATGTCTAAGTAATTTCCTAACGAATACGGTAGTCATCCTAAAGTATTGTGTAAGTCATTTTTTTATGAATAGTTGTAGTAAAATCAGGGAAAAGGGAAACACCACTTACAGTAACTTACATAGAAATGTACAAAATAAAAAAATCATAATTTCCTCATGTTATATTACTTGGAATTGCTAGAGAATGTGTTGATCTGAGATATAGTCTATAACATTTATTAAAATTGCTGGAAATGTGAAGCATTATAGATTACAGTAGATCTGTTTCTTTCGTTTCCCTTTAGTGACCATGTCGGACTCTGTGGATGCCAGACAAGTGAATGCCAAAGAGTATGTGTGATTTAAATGAAAATGGATCAATTACAGAAATGTTATTACAAGCAACAGGCACACGAAAGGAATAGTTCACCCAAAACTAAAACTTTGCTGAAAAATAGATGAGTTTGTTTCTTCATCTGAACAGATTTGGAATTGCTCACTAATGGTTTCTCTGCAGTGAATCCATTGTTGAGCAAGTAATGTAATGCTACATTTCTTTAAATCTGTTCTGATGAAGAAACTCATGTACGTCTTAGATGGCCTGAGGGTGAAATACATTTTCAGCTAATTTTCATTTGTGCGTGAATAATCAAAATTAGTCAAAAATAGAGCGACCCATGGTTGTTTAAGGGAAAATCATCACATTGTGAAGTAAATGAAAGTAACAGCTAACTAACCACTTTTTAATTACCACTTCCTGAAGTGTCTGTGAATCATTTCCACATTAATTATGAATGCATCATAAAAGTCTCTTTGTTTGCATGCAGGGGTTCGTATCTCACAGATGCTGGAGTCGATCAGACAGATGCCAAACCATATTCAGATGTTTTTCAATACAATATGAACTATCCCAGTTTGGGACAATGTGTCATCATCAACAACAAGAATTTCCTTAAAAAAACAGGTAAGAGCTGGGACTAACACTGATGAGTTGAACTAGTTAGAACCAGTTAAACTCTGCGGACCCGGATACTGTGTGTGTGTGTGTATATGTGTGTGTGTGTATATATGTGTGTGTGTGTATATGTGTGTATATATGTATATGTGTATGTATATATTTATCAGTCTGGCGAGTAAACAAAAAAATTTACTAGCCAATGGCGATTCAATTGCCAAGGTGTTCGTAGAGGGCTGTTATAATAAAGTAAATTTCAACCATTTCAAAGTTCGGAAAAGTAGTGATTGGAGGATTTAAAGGCTGAATATCAACTATTCAGCCAGGGTGATAGAGATTAAAGAACTGTTAAGAAACGTATAACACTGATCAACAGAGGAGTGAACAATGTCCTTAGCTGGTTTAAGAAGTTTATTAACAGTCCTAGGGCCAGATTTACTAAACAGGGCAAATTAACGTTAGAGCACAATTCCATAAAAGCGAAAAATAACTCAATACGCAAAAATAACGGTGTCCATGTCTTTTCAGCGCTGGCACAAGCTGTTAGTAAATCTGGCCCTTAAACAGAGACTTAACAGAGTTAGTGGTGGGAAGTACATATGCTTGATATTACAAAATGTAATGCTACGTTCAGACAAAGATCGGGAAAACATAACATTAATTTCATAGGTAACAAACCTATAGTCACTTATACTCATGTCAATGCTTTCCACAGATCGAATACCAGCTCCAGCAGAACAAACCACAATCAATGTGTGACCCAGCTTAAAGATCATAAAAGAAATATATGTGACAAATCCAGCACTGTAAACATACCACACACCAGTATGAAAAAATACAGATAATGTCATATATTAATGATTAATTATACATTTTCTTTATATCCCTACTCGTTTTGACTGCAGTCTTCAGTGCTTTAAATGGCTACATAGTATTGCTTTTTTATATGATTTAAAAGTATTTGTATCCCAATGCAACATAATGAGTAAAATACACGAATTATTTAGGGAAATGGAGTTCTTTGGTCAGCATATACACAATACATGGTATCTGTTTTATGCCATCAAACCGTGAAAATATGGAGGAGGATTTAAAGTCCAGCGCCACCTTGTGGTTGACACGTGTCATGATCTGCATGATCTCCAGTCGCCTGCCGTATTTTGACAGCATCTCGCACAATGAGATGATGAACCAGGAACCATTATCAACGTTCCTCCAGGAAAAATAACCTGAGGACAGACAGCAAACAAGATGATTAAAGCAAGTTAATCAGCATATTTTCTATAATTTGGTTCTCAAGAAAGTTGTTAGAACAGAAGATTAGTTACCTGGTGCAGTGGAGTAGACATACAAAAAATCTGCCTCAACAGGAATTTTCTGTGTTTCCTCTTCACTTTCATAGTCGGACTCAATGCCAGCATCCAGACCTGAGCCTCGGCAAGCCTGCATGTAGACACACAGGGCAAGCACACTCAAGCATTTGTTTAAGAGCAACTAAAACTATTAATTTAAACACGTACAATCAAAATTGGCCTTGAAAACATTCATTATGGTTTTGGTGCCTAGAAGCTATAGGCTGTATGATGTATAAATTGCATCTCTGCTTATTATCTCTGCTGAAAACTCATCTTTTTCGAAGCTACTTGACTTCATCATCATCATTATAAAAAAAAAAAAAAAAAAAAAATTCTCTCTCTTTATTTATTCCTTCTCTTTCTAGCTTGTACTTATTTGAACAATGTCTAGAAACTTGGTATTACAAGCACTTCCTGTATCTGTTTGCCTCTTTAAGAAGAATCGCTTTATGTATCCCCAAATTGTAAGTCGCTTTGGATAAAAGCGTCTGCAAAATGACTAAATTTAAATGTAAATGTATTAGTAAACAAAAGGCTCTACTTCAAAATTAACCACTAAAAACGAAACGGTATAAAATAAACAGTATGTGAGTGTGTGAATGTTTTTTTTTTTTTCTCAGTAGCCCTGGATCTTGTTTTTCTGAAATTCAGTAGCCCTGGATGGTGCATTTTCTGAAATTGTTCAAAAACAAAGTATAATCAAATAACCTTGCAAGCTGCTCTTGCCCTGAGACTGGCAAGAGAGCTTCCAAATCCTCAATACTCATCTTGCTGAAGCTGTCTGCTGCTTTTGACACAGTTAACCACCAGATCCTCCTGTCCACCATCATGAATATGGGCATCTCAGGAACTGCACTCCAGTGGTTCAAGTCTTACCACTCAGGTAGGTCTTTCAGGGTGTCTTGGAGGGGTGAGGTTTCTAAGTCACAACTTCTTGCTACTGGGGTTCCTCAGGGCTCAGTGTTTAGACCACTTCTCTTCTCCATCTACATGTCATCATTAGGATCTGTCATTCAGAAACATGGCTTTTCCTATCACTTCTATGCTGATGACACTCAACTCTACTTCTCATTCCAACCAGATGATCCGAAGCAGACATTTCTGGCTGGATGAAGGATTATCACCTTCAACTCAACCTTGCTAAGACAGAACTGATCGTGGTCTCAGTCAACCCAGCACTTCATCACAACTTCTCTATACAGCTAGGTTTGTCAACCATAACTCCTTCCAGGACAGCCAGGAACCTTGGAGTTGTGATTGATGATCAGTTAAGCTTCAGACCATATTGCTACAACAGCACAGTGCTGCAGATTTGCCTTATACAACATTAGGAAGATCAGACCCTTCCTATCAGAGCAGGCCACACAAATCCTTGTCCAAGCTCTTGTTCTCTCCAGATTGGACTATTGCAATGCTCTATTAGTGGGGCTTCCAGCATGCATCATACCTCTGCAGCTGATCCACAAGGTAGCAGCTTCAACGAGCTGAACAAAGCCCACATCACACCTCTCTTCATCAGACTGCACTGGTTGCCAATAGCTGCTCGCATCAAATTCAAGGTACTGATGTTTGCCTATAAGACAACCACTGGCTCTGCACCAATATTCCTAAACTCACTAGCTCAGACTTATGCGCCCTCCAGAAGCTTGCATTCTGCATCGCCTTGTGGTGCCATCCCAAAGAAGCACAAAATCACTCACAGACGTTTTCCTGGACTGTTCCCAGCTGGTGGAATGGCCTGCCTATCTCAATTCGATCAATTCGATGAGTCTTTAGCAATTAAATAAAAAACGTCTAAAGATACATCTTTTTCGTCAGCACCTGACCAATTAATACCAACACTATATTCTATTCTATTTGTTTTAATATTAATTTCATATTAATATTAATCCTTGCTATGTGTACTGTGCTAGACTAACTGATACTACTGATATGATAATAGTATATCAATGGTACTAAAAGAACAGCTTTTTGAACACGAAAATACTTTTTTATTATCAATCAGCTCACCTGAATGAAGAAAAGCTTGGGTTTCCCCACCAGAGATTTGCAGCGGTCTCCTCTGAAGAGCGCAAACAGTTCCTTCAGCTCAATACAGTCATCTGTGCCAAATATCCTTCCATCATCTCCATGACTCAGCAACACACACGCAAACATGGCTGATTTACTGTGATCTTCCTTAGACACTGAGGATGGAAGAGTATATGAGTTTATGACTGATCAATTCAATAACTGTAACCAATCACTATTCAGGCTCGGTCAGCATCTCGCCATACCTTCAGTTAACAAATCTCTCATCTGTGAGACAGTCTGATCTCTGCAAATTTTGATTTTGAAGCCCAGATTTGAGAAAGTGTCTTTCACATTCTCTTCATCTTTTTCTGTCCCATTACGAACTTTCAATCCTGTTAAAAAAAAAAAAAAAAGGCTTAGTCCAACAAGAACAAACCTCTAAACTAACTTGTTTAACTCGTCAGTGTTAGTTCTTACCTGTATTTCTCTGGAAATTCTTGTTGTTGATGATGACACATTGTCCCAGACTAGCATAGTTCATATTGTATTGAAAAACATCTGAATATGGTTTGGCATCCGTCTGATCGACTCCAGCATCTTTGAGATACGAACCCCTGTGCAAACAAAGAGATTTTTATGATACATTCATAATTAATGTGGAAATGATCTTCAGGAAGTGGTCATTTAGGGGGTGGTTAGTTAAGGCAAGTTTCTGTGTGAGTTTGTTATGATTGGAAAAACGTAAAAAATCTGGTAATGAGTGATCCTCAGCTGTTTAGTGTATGGTTAGTTTTTCCTCTGTGACAAAGTCAGTAAGTGTATGATGCCCAGTGTTTTAAAAGTGTGTTCAGAGAAATCAACCTTACTTGTAGCTGTCTCTTATATATCTTAAACAGCATAGTAAGAATACTGACAATTTCCTCACCAACAAATACTCTTGTGAATGGGTGCTGTCAGAATGAGAGTCCAGAATAACTGATAAAAACATCACAATAATCCACATGTAATCCATACGACTCAAGTCCATCAACTAACATCTTGTGAAGCAAAAAGCTGTGCGTATGTATGATACAATCCATCAGTTTTTTTATTTTTTACTTTGCTTCTAGCTAAAATATGAGTCCATAATGGATCCGCAACCTATAAAGTCCATCCCATGTTGTCCTCTCACATCAAAATCCACCCACACATTTGTTTAAATTTGGACTGTTTTGTAAATGTTGCATGAACTGCGCATATTTCTCTCCTGATTCAGACAAAATTACTTTTCATTAGAGAAAGCACTATTATGGATGAAGTAAACAATGGTTTCATGGATTAGTTTCGTACAAAAACGCTGCTTTTCACCTCACAAGTTATTATTTGATGGACTGGAGTTGTGTGGATTACTTGTGGATTATTGTGATTTGTGATTGTTTTTAACAGCTGTTTTGACTCTCATTCTGACGGCACCCATTCACTGCAGAGGATCCATTGCTGAACAAGTGATGTAATGCCAAATTACTCCAAATTTCTCCAAACAAACTCTATATCTTGGATGACATGAGGGTGAGTAAATTTTCATTTTTGGGTGAAATAATACATTTTCATCAAAATCACATACTGTTTGGCATTCACTTGTCTGCCGTCCACAGTGTCTTCACCCCTGGGTCCTCTGTCTGACATGGTCACTAAAGGGAAACACAGACACACACACACACACACACAAAAGATCTTATCATAAATAATTATTCTTCTGATACATAATGACTCACAGTTGCTTAGGAATTTGTGTTATGCATTTACCCAGAAGTACAGTATACTGTATACTGTATGGTATATATATATATATAGCAGGGGTGGCGAGCTTCAACCCTAATCAAACACACCTGAACAAGCTAATCAAGGCCTGAAGGGTTACTAGGAAGCTACAGGCAGGTGAGTTTTTATTAGGGTTGGAGCTGAGCTCTCCAGGACCGGAGTTCGCCACCCCTGGTATGTAGTTACATTTTCCCCAAAGCTCTTCTCTTTAAAACAACAGGTGTAACAAGTTCCTCTAAAGAGCCAAAAGATAACTTATTAACTTATTTGACGTTTAAAAGCCATAATGATCATATACATATTGATTTTACAAACATCTAAGAGCTTGTTTACTGAAGGCCTCTTACTTTTGGTCTATTGCAGAATATATACAGTATATAAAAAAAGCAGGTCAGTTTCACTTTACTGGGGCAAGCTCATGACAGCACATTATGAAAGAAAAGAATTATGAGTTTTGTTACTCGTCTTTACTTTTATATTACAAATTTTAGTCTATCTCAGCCAGCAGGAAAAAAAACAAGACAAAACCTAATTTTATCCTGTTACTTCACAGATATTTCCACAATAACACACATGTTCCTTATTGATTCTCTTCAGTGGCATTTACACACATTTACATTTAACACATTGTTATCTAAATCCATTTGTCATTAAAAACATGTAAACACATTCAGAACTAAATGATTTAATAAAAGCACATGTCTTTCTGATCAGTAAAAAAGCAAAGGTAAAGATGCAATTAAGGTAATCAGTAATGTGAATAAAGTAAGTAACTTACAACTGTGGTGTCGTCAGATGTTTCTTTCTGGAAGAGAAATGAAACAAGTAGTTCTGATGAACTGGGAGGTTGTTTAAATACTCGTGGAACGAGGGGCACATTCAAGCTCAAACCCGTGCACAACGTTTTGCTACGGTTTCCGGGTTGAACGTCATGTTTCCTGGAAACAGTGTGCAACGGGGTTTGAGATACGTTTTCTCTTGTTTGGTGGGTGTGTCAAAAATGTCAGCCCAATCAGCAGCAACATGTATATAAACCACACGGTATTAAAGAAACAGCTGGCACAATGTAATTAACATCTAAATAAATCCACAAGAGCAAGTATATTGTTTGCACATGTTTATTTACATTAAAGGCAAAATAACTAAGAGAACAAGTATAGATCTGGAACGTCTTTAAGTCTGTCTAAATATCAATTAGTAATTGCAATGTCTTCTGGTCCATCCTTTCCTTAGGAAGGTGTGCTAGACACTGATTAATGTAACATAACAATACTATACTTATATATTTTGCTATTGTATGGTGGAGTGACACTTTCATAAACTTTTCTATACCCCTCTGATTATATAATGGTAAATATTA